AGCACATCTCTGTGATGGTATGCGTTTATGAGTGTCTGTGTGTGTGTGCGGTGTGTGTATATATATAGATATATTCACACACCAACATAAACATAAAGCCTTATTTTTATACAAGTCCAATGTTTACTTGTTTAGAAAAAAAAAAAACACCAACTTTTCACCTGCTTTTTTACAGTTTAATGAAAACAAAAATAATAAAGAAGAAATACAATAAATTCCATTTTCGGCAGTATGATATACAACTCTTACCTTGAAAACAAGTAAAAATGCTGAATAACTTATTTTTAAAAATATTTCAAAATAAACTGAACTGGCAAGAAAAAGTAAGGTTTCACAGGAGCCGGAAAAGAAAAACAGCGAAACTACCTTGGAAGGACTGAGCTCCAAAGCCAGAATTTTCCTGCAGGTACTGCAAAACTCTGGTGACCATGAGCTTCAATTTTGATAGTTATGCAAGACACTAGATCCATGAGATAAAAACCCAGGACTTGCTCAAAATGGAAGTATTTAAGAGACAATTGCTACATAAGCTTGAGACACCAACTGGCTAGAACCTCAAGGTAAGGGCAAATACAAATAGACTCAATGTGGAGAAAAGTACAGCAGGAAGCTCATCTTTATTGATCTTGGTACTGGGTAAAGGGGAAAAAACATCCTTGAGTCCAAAGAGGAATTATTATTTGACAGATTGAACTCTCAGCTAACTTAACTGGATACCTGAAATTATGGTGTTTTTCCAAATTTACTGCTAATGTTCTATGTATACATTTTATTTTAGGTAAATATTATGAATGATGATTAATGGAGCAACCTTCAAAGTAAAAAATTAGGAACATGGGAACCTAGAAATTTTTAAAAGTTCTGATTCAACGGAGGCTTGGAGTTAACAAAGTTAAATCCACATTACACCATTTATTGCTTATATGACTTTGGGTCTCAATTTACTCATCCTTAAAATTAGAATGCTGTGAGGATTAAAATAAGATCCAGTGGATATAAAGCATCTAGCACAATATGTGACACAGTCAATGTTAGTTTCCTTCCCATTTTAAAGAGTTAAAATTTCTTGAATTAAAATAATAAAACCATGTTGGTATTTCTTATATTTGTCCTTAGGAAATCTAGCCAAATTATCCATGCCCCATATAATTTGCTATTTCCTTTTTTAGGGATATAAATGATATTTTAATTATATCTTAAAGTACAGCTAATGGGAAGACTCCTGCAGTTTTCCAATCCTTAAAAACCATCAATTTGTACAGCAAATTGCAAACATTATGGAAAATGGTCTGTTATTATGGGTCTCCCCTTTCCTTTTGTCTTTTCTAGCACTGAGGTATTATAGCAATTAGCCAGCTTCATGCTACAGGAATAACAATGATAAGGCAGCTGCTGTTAATAAATTTTCAATCATTCAGACCCACAAAATTACAACTGCAAAAAAAATAATCACTTAGCAGGCACCAACAGAGATACATTTGGTGAAAATGCAGTCATTTAAACTGTCCAAAAGAAAGTCGCTATTAGAATATACATTTTAATAAGAATTGACAAAAAGGAAAGGTTTAGTTAGTATCTAGTTCTCTCCTGAATGTCAATAATATCACTTATCTACTATTGCTAGATCTGGTTTTTAATTAGAATAAGAATTTTGAAGTATGTATCTAAAGACCCATTACAATCAACCACTTATAGTAGAGGTTCTATAGGGAGGGAGGAACATATTTAACGACATTTTGTAAATATTAAAAACATTAAAGTCTAGAAAGTTTTTGAGACAGTACTTTATTTTTCTAATTTTTCAATCTAGGTATTTTAAGAAAATCAGCCCTGCCTGTCACTGAGATACCTACTCATACCCAACAATGGATCTAATTCCTGCCCCCACCTTTTCCTCCAATGTAAGCAAATACAGGCATATATCACTCAGATAAAGGTCTTCCTGGGAGACTCTCATATAAATATAAAATAAACATATATCAAAATATTATTTAATTCATCAGTTAATGAGGAAACCAATAAGTTGCAATTGGTTCAAGAGAGAATTCAAAACACACATACATATATAAATAATCAGGATTCCTGACTTTATAAATAAAGCAAAATTGGACAATATCCATAGGGTAATAATAAATTGAATCTCCATTGAACACAACCTGCATTTCTATGAATAATCATCTGCATTACTGTCAATATTCTACAATTTAAGAGTTGTAAAATAACTTAAAGATAATCCCAAGACACCCAGTGAGTAATCTTTTTTGCTCATTTCAAAGTCTTTCACAATTTTTCCTGACACTAACCTCGGGAAGGAACTGAATGCATGCAAAGCAAAGATGTCAGGATTTTCTCTCAGTCTTTGGTCTTTGTTTCTTTCTGCACATGTTTCACTCTCCCCTCTGTGCATATTGGTTTTCTTCATTTAAATGTCCTTCTCCTTTCTATTAAATACTTTCACCACACTCAAAACCTGTCCTCTTCCTCCTTTTTCTTCTTGTTATTGGCCAAGTGTTGACTAGAAATCAGAAGCCAGGGAGCCTAGTTTCAGCTTTGACGCCCACTAGCTGGTGCCCTAAGGCAAGTCAGTGACACTTTCTAGGTATCAGTTTCCTTACCTCAATAATTTGGATCAGTGATTTCCAGACTTCTGAATTTCAAGGCCAGCAGTTTTTTCTATATTGGTATTTCTTGTATCTGTCTTAATGAAAGATGGTGGGAGTATGCTGGATAGGTGAAGAAAAGAAAGGGCATTTCAGAGAGAACACTCTGTGGTTAGAAATGGTTATAAATTAGGTTCTGGGGGATGGAGGCGGAAGGAGGCAGAGTATAAAGGATCTTTACGCTTTGGGACTTTTTATAGTTGACTGCAAACCACTGAGGGCTTGGAAATAGCAGAGGAGATGATCAGATTTTGTTTCTGAAACATTTCTACAGCAGCAGTGAGAGGAGAGGCTGAAGGGTGGTGACCAAGAAAACAAAAGCCCACCCCAGCAGAGAGGCTGCTGACAGAGTTAAAAATGAAATTGGAAGGAGTGATAGTGGAGATGGGTTTGGGAGAGATTTGAAAAGTTAAACAGAAAGAAGGGACTTTGGGTAAGAAAACTGAAGGAGAAAGGAAGGCTTCAAAGACTCTCAAGGTTTTGGCTGGCTGAGTAGCTGAGTGGATAGTGACACCACTCACTGGGATGTCGGTCGGAAATATTTACTGAGTGCTTTACGTGCAGAGCACTCTTCCAGGCCCCGGCAATTTAGCCACGAATGAGACAAAGTTCGTTCCCTAAAAAAGTAAACAAGAATAAATAAATTGCAGTAGTGGTAAAAAAGAAACAAAGAAGGGGCTTAGAGAAAAACAGTGGCCATCAGCTTTGATTAAGGTGGTCAAGAAAGGCCTCTCTGAGCAGGTGGCATTTAATCCAAGACCTCAAGGATGTGAAAAAACCACCGTGTGATGAATGCGC